GTGGCCATGGACATGTCTGAGTTCTGGATAAAATCTGAAGATAGAGTGAAAAGTGAGTATTTTCTGACAGATAGCATGAGGGTGGTGAGAGGAGACAAGGGTGATTCTAGGTCTGCGGCCAGATCACCTGGAGATGGGAGTTATGTGGGAGCGGTTTTCAGGGGCTATCAGGAGGCTGGTTCTGGAGGTTTCAGAGGCCTGTTAGACACCTATGCTATGGATAATAATGTTAATTAAAAAACCCCAAACTAGCCATACAACCCTTGCTGTGTGCTGCACACTGTTTTAATCATTTGACTCATTTAATCTTCAAACCTATACTAAAGGGTAAGGATTATTTCCCTCACTTTCCAGTTGAGGCAGTGCAGGTACAGAGAAGTCCTGCCCAGGGTCACACAGTGGGAGGCTGGCAGAGCCAGGATTCAATTCCAGGCACTCTGGCTCCAGTAGGCACTCATAGCCACTTTACACCATTAGTTCTCCATGAAGAGAACTGAAGAGAGTGACAGGGATGCTATTTCATACAGGGTGAGTAGAGAGGGCTTCCCTGAGGAAGTGATAATTGATCTGAAGGAGGGGAGGTAGCAAGCCATATGACATCTGTGGGAAGGGTGCTTCAAGCAGAGGGGACAGTGTATAAAGGCTCTGAAGTGGTCACCCTGCACTATCCATGGGGCCCAGGAGAGTTCTCACCTCTGAGGACACACACTTGCTGTTCTTCCCACCAGCAGGGCCCTTCCCTCACCTAACAAACTATTTATTACACAATCATCAAGCTCTGGTACCTCCCAGGCAGAATTAATTCTCCCTCTGCACAATCCAATGCGTTGAATAACCTGTCTGCCCTTGCAAATCTGGGTCTTCAGCCTCATACTCTTCTGCCCTGTTCTGACCCTGTGACCTTGAGCAAGTTACTCGACCTCTTGTGCCGGTTTCCTCATCTGTAAAACAACGTATTTTACTCTCAAAATAAAATATTCCTAAAAATACACCCACTCTCATAGGATTTTGTGAGGACTGAGTGTGTCCATAGATGTAAAATCTTGGAAGTGTCTCTGGCACATGGAAGACATTCAACCAATGTTAGCTATTAGCTTGTGTGTCATCTTCCTCACTCCCAAACATCCCATGGATCTCCATGGCCTACACCATCTGGTCCTCTTCACCTCTCTGACCCTGCCTTCTGTCCCTTTCTACCCTATGCTCTAATCACACTGGCTTCTTTGATGTTCCCTGGCACGCACAATACCACCTCAGGGCTTTTGCACTGGCTGTTCCTTCTGCCTGGTACACCCTTCCCCTAGTCGTTTTGGCTCTCTCACCTCCTTTAGGCTGTAACTCAAGCGTCACCTTCCGTGTATAGCCTGTCCTGTGCCTAAGATTTCAACCACCCCAATACTCTATTCCCACCTGCCCTACTTCATTTTTTCTTTTTAGCATTCACCTAACGTACCATCTTAAACTTTATTTTGTTTATATAGTCTCTTCAAATTTAATATGTGTAATTTTTTTTTTTTTTAGTGTTGGAGATAGTCTTTTTATGTTGCCCAGGCTGGCCTTGAACTTGTGATCCTCCTTCCTCAGTCTCCAGTGAAACTGGGAATACAGGTGTGTACCACCATACCCAGCTCCCCAATTTTCATAAATATGTGCTCCACAAGGGATTTCTACTTGTTTTGTCCCTGACCCCATTTCCCCACCACTCAGTAGGTGCCCAGTCAATGCTGAATGAACAGTCCCAACTACTTAGTCTTCTAACTAGCTCTCATGTCCCTTTTCTCCATTTGTTTCTTATGCTGATGTCTGAAATTACATTTCCCCCCATTTGTGCAATAAATTCTTTTTAAAAATAATTACTTAACTTTATTGATTTATTTTAATATGACCAGAGAGGGAGGGAAGGAGAGGGGGAAGGGAAAGCAAGAGAGAAAGCGAGAAAATGAGAAGGTAAGTGCCAGGTCCAGGACTCAAACTGCGGTCAGCCATGTGGGAATCCAGCGCCCTTAACCACCATTCCATCTGCCGGCCCCTGTGCAATAAATTTTATCAAGTATCTACTGTGTACTAAGTTCAATTTTGAGGTGCTGGAGACAGCAGTGAAGAAGCAGACAAAAACTCTAAGTTCTGGGGCCTTACTTAAGATGCTGGAATCCCACATGGCTGATAGTGGTTCAAGTCCTGGACCTGGTGATTTGAAAATCACACCAGGTATGTGCATATGTGCCCAAAATACCAGGAGGAGAATGGATTGTGGCGTGGCCAGCCCTCTTGGGGAGGTGATTTCTCACTTCTCCCCCTCATTGTCTCTTTGTCTCTCTGGCGAATGCATGTGTCCCATGGCAAAAACTTAAAAAAAAAAAAACCCAACCCTCTAAATCCTCATGGGACTGTCCTAATGGGGAGAGATAGACAATAAGCAAGTAAACTATACAGGATATAGTGCTGGATGTGCAGGTTCAAGTGGTCATGGAGGAATTGGCTTAGAAAAAAACAAATAGCATTGTTGGAACCATTTTCTAATACATGTGCCTTTATAATTTATTGTGAGCACCACGGAGTGATGAATACAATCTTTACTGAAATAACACTACTCAGATGCAACAAAATGGAAGCACTCATACAAAGATCTTTTATACTTGTGCCTATACTAGTTTTGTGAGCACATTCTTTCAATGAAATAACATGATTCTTATTCACATACACAACTAGCATTCTTAGAAACAGCTTTTATACCTGTGCCTTTGGAGTGTTTATATACATTACAGTTTTGTGAACACATCCTTTTGATAAAACACTCATCTTATTCACATATAAACTGGCATTCTTAGAAACATCTTTAATGCACTGTACCTTTACACAGTGTGTTCCATGTGCTATAACATGGTGAACACATTCTTTACGGGTTCACATATGAAGAGGGCCCTGAAAGGAATCATGCAAAGATCTGGAAGAAGTGTTCAAGGCATAAAGAATAGCCAATGCAAAGGCCCTGAGGCTGGACTGTGCCTGTGGTTTTGAGGAAGAGTGAGGAGGCAGTCAGTGTGGATGGAGCACACTGGTAGGTGTGCAAGTGTAGAAGGAAAGACCTAGAAGGTTCTTTGTTTTACGATGAACTCACGGATATTCTTTATTCACACCAGAAGTTATTCTATTCCCCTGTTTTACAAATGGGGAACCAGGTACAGTGAGAAAGTGGTTCACTTATAGTAGGTCACACCGCTGCTGGGATGGGGGTGGATGGGCCCTGAGATAAAATGTGGAATGGAGGCAGTTCTGCAGGCAGAGGCAACAGCAAAAACAAAAGAACAAAGATGGGAATGAATTGGTTTTGAAGGATAGGGCCTCACATAGGATGGGATGAAGTGAAGAAGGGAAGCCTCAAAAATTATCCTGTACCCTGAGTACTTGCCGGGCCACCTCTATGCAAGGTTTTTAACGTCCCTGTGCCCCAGTTTCCTTAGTACCTATCTCACAGGGTTGTGGTGAGTATTAAATCAGCTCATTAATATAAAACACTTTGCCTGTTACATAGCAGGTGCTCAATAAATGTTAGTTCCTATTGACATAATCATCATTTCTATCGCTAATGTATTAATTTGTAGTAATAAATGGCTTGGAGGTTAAGAGTGTGGTCGACTGGGACCAGCAGTTGGCCTAATGGCTGTGTCGCTGGATTCCCATGCAGTCGACCGCGGTTCAAGTCCTGGACCCGGTGGCTTAAAGTCACGCCAGGCACGTGTGCATGCTGCATGCATGCCCAAGGTCCCCTGAGGAGAATGGAGGAGAAGGGACTGCAGCGTGGCCATTCCCCCTGGGGGGTGATTTCTTGCTTTCTGTCTCTGTCTTTCTGGCGAGCGCACGCTCCCTATAGCAAAAACCTCTCAAAAGAAAAAAAAAGTGTGTTCAACAGTAAACAAAACAAAACAACCCTGGCTTCAACAAGCACATAGGCTGATCCACTATTAACAGGCAGGGAAGGCCACAGACTGATTCACCACAAGGAAAGGAAGAAAAGATAAAAGTTCACAGGCAGACCCTTCTGGGAGAGATTACAAAGCACTGGACTCATGGGAGGGTACGTGACGGGGGTGTGAATACAAGCACACAGCTAGTGAACAGATCCACTACAAAGGGAGGGGGGGTAAGGATAATCTACTGGGGGGAAGGGGAGCAAACTGCTTATTGGCTCCTGCACCTTAGTGGAAAGGAAGCAAAGCCATCATACGGACTAATTAAAAGGAGAGGGACAGGGCTATGGGGCTGGGCTATTGAAAATAGGAAGATATAAAGCACTAACTGACCTACTATAAAAAGGAGCGGAGAGGTCCAATGATTGGAGTGACCGCCTATGAAAAAGAAAGAAGAGATAGGGCAAAGGACGAGTAGCCAGGGGAATGTGAACACAAGCATGTAGACTGATCCACTATCGAATGGGGGAGGGGGTAAAGCCATGGACAGATGCACTGGAGGATTTGAAGAGACAGGAATACAAACTCTGATGGACTCACTATTAAAGAGGGGTGTGTATTGGGCGGGGAGGTGAGTACAGTGCCACGGATCCATTCACTACACGGAACAAGAGGTGTGGAATAAACAAGGCCACAGATAGGTCCCCTTAAAGTTGAGGCTAGGAGAAACATGAACATTCAGATACACGCAGGTTATTAAGGGGCTTGGACAATGCTACAGACTGGTTGTCTACAAGTAGGCGTTCGGGGTTGGGGGCCAAGGCCATGGACTAGTCTACTGTAAGTTGAGCTGGGGAGAAATACAAGCACGCAGACTGATCCATTATACAATGGGAGGTCTGGCCACGGTCAGATTCACTACAAGGGGCAAAGAGACGGGGCAATGCCACACGCAAGTACCCCAGCCACGGTGGTGACAGCGGGGAGTCGAACACTAGCAGGCCATGGGCCAAGCCACATCCCCAGCGCGGGGGCGGGAAGGATATGTGGGGTCACGGACCAGACCTTTCACCCTTCAGGGCCAGAGCTCACCTGTGTGTAGCGCGGCAGCGACGTTGGCAGCTCCGGGGGGCGGGGGCTCCATACGCGGCCCCACCGCCCCCCAGGCCCAGTTTCCGAGGAGGCGGC